AACAGAACCCGACGCCCTCGCACCACGTTCTTCCACGTAGCTTTCGCCACCACCACCGGGAAAATTTCCGCGAAGAAAATCACCTGTTTCTTGCCTCCTTCCTTCCATCGCTCCACCAAGCACTCCGGAACATGATCACCAAACACCTCCTTGCGCCCAGTCACAGGATCGAACAAGAGGGCGCCATGCGTCACCAGGTTGCCCTCCTGCTCGCACGCACCGTCCGTGAAAATGAGCACCGGAGGCTGCTGCGACCACGCTCCCACGCATCTAGGTCCTCCTGCCTTAAGCGTCTCCAAGGCAAACCGCAGAGCATTGAGCAGATCGTCCATGTGCTCCCGGCCTGGTTGGCGATCATTCCCTCGATGAGAAATGAGTTGCGTCGCCAACTGGGCGCAACGCCCGAACACATGGCCAGCTGCAAACAATAGCTTTCCTTTGAGGGACAACATTCTCTTCCGATCACACCGACCTTCTGAAACGCACTGCATGACCACCTCTTCGATGGCCTCGAGGCGCCCCGGCTTGTTCTTCACCAATACATCTCCTTTTGCTGCTCGTTCGAAGGAGATGGTGGCCCCAAGCATGTTGAATACCCGGTCGAAAGGCAAGGCCTTGGCCCCTTGAGCGATTTTCCAGCCCAGCAACCCGAGGACTTCTTCAGCGGTCTCCCGTGCTGACTCTTGTAAAGGTTCGAGCTCCAGCTGGCAAAAATCGTCGTAAAAGTTGGTGGTCACCAGACTGAAGAGAACCGAGAGGATTCGCCTCAAAGCCCGAGCCGCTCGGTTGAAGCCAGTAACCGCGCTCACAGCCCCGAACGGCAGAGCTACTGCCTCGAAGTAGCTGACCTCCCCGGAGTCCGGGTTAAGCACGGCCACAATCGAGACCCAAGCGTCCTTTGGGTGGCGAGCGAGCTGCTTGTACGCAGCTTTCAGGTCTAGCGCCCTGCCTCGTAGAAGTCGAGCTTTGCCTCCACGCCAGTCCGGGTGTAGACTCCCGGTTACCCAGTGCCCTTCTGACGCCGGTAGGCGAAACGTCGAAACCCCAGCCGTCGTGGCTCCGAGGAAGAACCGCGCCAAAGAAACTATATGATCAATGCCCTCCAAAGTAATCTTCTCAGTCTCCGTCACGGCCGAGTTAATAAGAAACTCTGAGAGGTCATCCACACTCCTCACCTTGTCGGACTGTGCTACCCCAAAGCGCTTCGAAGGAATCCAGCAGCCATTATATTTTTTCTCAATCTCGGCCCAGGAGAAAGGCCCTTTCATCCAGGATTTCTCCACCTGCTCAAGCGTCTCGGCCCACACCGCCCTGGCAACGTCTACGTCCGGGGACGCTTTCTTGCAGGATGCTTCTAGATGTTTGGACCACCGAGCTGTGGCTTTCAGCTGCGATTCGTCCAAGACGGCCGGCTTGAGCTTCTTTGGGAACTGCCCAGACGGAGGTAGCGACCCTATCAGACGGAACCCCCGAGTCAGGTCCTCGAAGAGATAAGGGTCTTCCACCCCCGCATCACGCGCCATCTCCTGGAACAGAAGGAGATTCTTTCCGGTCATCACCTCTCTCACCTGCGGATCCATAGTCGCCTTGAGAGCCTCTTCATCGGACCGAAGCTCAAGTTCTCTCCGCCGGTAATAGTCAAGAGTTTTCTGCCGAAGGTTCTTAGTGCCTTCCACTCCCCGCTCCAAGACGACTTGCATGGCATGAATATTGCCCATGTCCGAAGTCGAAGGTTCATCGAAGGGATGGCGCATCTTTAAGGCTTCACGCAAGAAAGAATCAGGTGTGCGAAAGATGCCAAACTTAACCTCCCGGACACCTTCCTCACCCCCTTCACCCGTTAGTGTCCGAGAGCAGAGGAGTCGAGACCCCAAAGGCAGGCCTTGCATTGGCCACGGTGCATGGCCGTCAATCACTTCGGGCACAGATACACTGACAGGCACACGCAGGGTGCACGTAGAGCCAAACTCAGAGGGCCCAGCCTGGAAAGATTGTCCCCGTGGCTGTCGCCCGACGGCGGCAGCAACACCAAAAGTCTCAGACATGACCTGTGGAGCAGGAAATGCATTCCTCGAAGCACATATGTCCATGAAGTCCGAAGCAGCTGCCTTGCAGAAAGCACTGGGATATTCAGCGGTGCCCGTGGTACGAAAGCCCCACTGCCCCTGACTCTTGGTGAGGCCCCACGACTTGTGGGCATGGGCGCCGTCGCATGTGGCCTGCATGGAAGGTAGCTGATGCGTAGAGAGCAGCCTGGTAGCCTTTTTCAGGTCGGCACCATACATGCAGGCATGTGAATGCAGAGAGTGCAAACGGGCCACCCACGGTTTAATCCATCGAGTGGACCAGAACCAGGACCGGCTCGGGTTCTCGAGTACGCAGACCTTGTCCAGACGCACACACAACTCGACAACTTGGGCCGCAAACATGTAAAGCTGGTTAGCCAGGCGCACCCGGCGACCCGTGACACCTGAAAGGTTGGGGAAGCCTTCGGGAAACGCGGCGCTGCGCAGTGGTTCCGCCTTGAGCTTGCCTGAGGCTCCCGGCGGTGGCTTTACGGGTATGTCGCGAGCCCTCGAGCATGTCCCGCACGGGGGAGCTAACCAGACAATATCGGCCCTGCGAACTTCGTCAAGAATCAAGACTTGGTCGCTTGCACGGGTGAGGTCTAAACGAACACACGGCGCCTTGATCGACCTGGGCAGCAAACAGCGGTCAACGCCCAGAGCCTCACCCCCAGCCCGAATGAAAGCCGAAGACACCCCTGCAGACCCGCAGAAAAGCTCCAGTAGGTACGGCACCCTCGAGGGCAGAGACACGGGTGGGCCTATTGCCGACCGGATGGGCCCTCCGTCCGGGGTGTCAGGGTGAGGGACGGCAGTCTGTGAAGGCGCACTCAGCATGGCTGCGGGCAAACGGAACTCTGAAGGTGGCACAAAACCTAAGTCTAGGAGTACCTTGGCTCTGGCAGCGTCCTCCCATGCGCCATTGGGCATAAAGCCCACCAAGAGGATACGTTTGCCCTTCCAAGGCATCGTTGCATGTGCAAGCTGGGCATCCAGAAAACACGGCCCGGGCTGCACAGACATAACCACACCTTTGAGTGACGGGTTGTCCGGAGCAGGCACCGTGCCCTTGGAAGACTGAATCCACACTCCACCGGCCTGAAAAAGCGTCAGCGGTACTAGAATATTGCAAAATCGCCCATCATTGTTGACATCCCGATGTCGCTTCGACTGAAGATTCTGAAAGATCGCAAGAGCAGCGAAGGTCCGTTTGGGAGCTCGCTGACGAAGAAAACGACACATGACCTCGGTACAGGAAGGGAAAAGGTTCGTATTGGTCCGAAGTCCGCGAAGGCTGCCCTGAGCATAGGCCCCGGTAGTCCAGGACTTGGTATCGTCGCCCGCGGAGCCCCTGCTAGGAGTCTCCCCCGGCAATGATTCAAACAGCTTCAAGACATCTTCTGAAGAGGGATGATCAGACATCATCCGCGCCTGTTGCTCAATTCCGAAAGGAAAATCAGTGGGCGAGTGCCCAACATCTTCAAACTGGCATGGCAAAACCCCACCTTGGTGGGGAAGTCGCAACGATCCTAGTCACGACTTCTTGACCTTTGGGCACTGCGAGAAGATATGGTCTTTCGACTCGCAGCCTGGGCCACAGCACACATGAAGGCCCTTGTCGCACTTAGCCCCAACATGGGCACAGGTGCCCAAGTTGTGGCCGTAGCAGATCGGCTCATTGGCTTTGGTCCTCGGTACACCTCCGCGAAGCCCTTGCGGCATGACACCACGCAACTTTTTGCGTTCCGGCTGTCCTTCGGGAGGCGGCGGAGGCGGGGGCACATCAGTCTCTTTGACTGGCTTCTTCTTCTTCTTACGCTTCCTAGGACCGGTCTCCTCCCCAGTCGACTCATGATCCTCTTCCGTCGACTGAGCACCTTTGCCAGCCAACTTCGTCGGCATGAGGATCCAATGAATCGATGCCATCTGTAGCACTGTTGCAAGATGGTCATCCAAAGGCAGCTTGCCCGGCCCAGGGGTGGAGAAACCCGCCCTAGTCAGACGCGCTAACTGCACGTGGCATTCTCGATCCGCTGCCTGGACTTGTGTCAGGTTGACACGTGAAAAGCCTGGCAGAGGCTCCTTCTGAAGCTCCCGGACCAAGAAGCACACCAGCGTCTCGTGCGCGGAAAAGGACATGTAGCCCCCCAGCTCATACGCAATTCCCCTCCTCCGCAGCGCCTGGAAAACTTCCAGCTCCGTATCCACCTTGGTCCTCAGAGCATCCGGGGAAGCAACAGCCTTCAGCATGCCGCTGCGATCCGGCTGCAACATACGAAGGGAGGGAACTTCTTTCAAGGAATTCACTTCTTGATTCCTTGTAGTCACTCTGCACAGCTCCAGGTAACGCACTCGTTGATCTTCCACACATTGGCAAACCAAGTTCACGACCGCATGGGATGGCTCGAGGCTGTCCTCGATCCTCAGCGGTAAAACCTTTGCCTGCAAAGCATCGATCCGGCTGGAGATCTCAGCAGGTGGAAGTTTCCGCGGAACGTCACTCTCAGTATTTTCCGTCTGTCGCTTCAATTCAGCAGCGGTGAGGGTGTAACTTTCAAAATGCAACCTCCTCAAAGCCGCTGCCGAAGCGTGATCCGCGTCCCCTAGGACGGCTGTGATCACATCACGCACGAAGACGCTATCGTCTCCCTGCCCCGGAATCACCGCGGTGGAAAAGGCAAAGTTTGCATGTGTGCCCCATCCTTTCGTACGCAAAGTATCAATTGCCCCCTGGCTGAGGCCGACCTTCGCACATCTCGAAGAGAAAACCGCCTCACTATCTACCACCGACATTCGAGCAACAAGCTCACGGAGAAGAAAATTCTAATTGCGTCAAATACAAGTGTGCTGCTCGCGGCTTCCCTAGGCACTCCGATTCGCACTACAGAAGCTCACGCAACACTCGGACCCCTGGCCTTTAGTCGCGACCTTGCGTCAACGCTCGGACCAGCACTTCGCACATTTGCGAGGCTCGTAGATGGAGCACCCTATGGTCTCCTTATAGTTGGCATTCGCCTGACGGCCACAATAAAAGACTGTGGCCTCACCTTCGTTCTCAGGATTCAAAATTCGCACTCTGTGCAAAACACCACTGACGACATGTCTAAAGAAAGGGCCCTCGAGAGCATCCGACGCCCCTTGGATTGCCTCGGCTACCTGCTCTCCCGCAAGCTCCGCCATCCTTTCAGCGTCCTCGGACTCTTCCTCATCCTGAAGGGACGCCGACGAGGATTCACACTCGGACACCTGATGCCCATCGGAGGAAGCTTGCTCGAGCTCCAATGCAGAAGGCCCAGGCGTGGCATCCCCGGGCTCCGAAAGCTCCTCAGGATGCAGGCTATCGTCAATCCCGGGTGCGAGGAACGGACTAGCCTCCTCCTCGCCGGGTAGATCCGAAGGGCCCCTGGCGCCTGAGGCATCCTGCAGTTTCCTCAAGGCGTCGTCCAAAGAGCGACACCCAATCCATCTGCCAGACCTCGTGCGGTCCGGGTCAAAGAGTCCTCCCGAAATAACCTCCAGGAGCCCCTCAATGAAACCAAGAACCGGAGCCATTGCATCCCTTCCATACTCCAATGGATTCTTTGCCCCAGGCTCAACATGGTAACCGGCGAGTCTCTGCAGCCCCTGTGGAGCACCAGCTTTGGACATCCAGGATAGGATCGTAGGTTTGAAGGATCGAGTCCCGCCCCCGGGCCCCAAGGGAGGGATGTCATTCGCCCGAAGAATCTCCCGCAGCCACGTGGCCGCCTCGTCCGATGACAACGGAATCTTGGCCCACCCTCCCCCGGCCTTCGGGGCTGGCATCGTCGGCTCTCCCCTCGAAGCCACCAAACCCAGCCGCGCCCTGTTGTCAAGCCACTTCGTAGCCCAGTCGAGCCCAGAGATCCCTGGAGTGATCCCCACAGCAGGCAAAAGTCTGTTCCTCAAGACAGCAGTCCTCTGGGCCGTCTTGTGGTTGTACAGTGAAGCCTCCACAAAACCTTTCCCTCCAGAGACATCCAGGAAAGGTTCAAAAGCGCAGTGCTGGGAGTCTCCCCACCTCAGCCTGGCATGAATGCAGAAGCACACGTGCCCCACGAACACAGCCTCCTGCCCTTCTGCTGTCGCCGCGAACCACTCCAAGAACTTAACCTGGGCCCCGGTCAAGGGTGGGGCCTTCTTCACCGTGACCTCAGCAGAGCCCTCGGCAGCCCCACGAATGCGCGCTGAATCCAGGATATTCTGTACTTCGGCCCCCAGTACTCCTTTCGCGAAGCCCAAGGCCTCGAGGAATCTAGGAGCCCGGGTGCGGGGTGCCTTGGTCGACCTAAGGTGGGCCACGTAGTTATACACCGTCGGCTCATCCAAAGGAAAGATCCCTGCTGCCGCAGTCCCGCCTTCGGTGGCTCGCCACCTGCAAAACATAAGCAGAGACGCAGCCCTAGTCCTCAGGGTCGAGGTAGCTTTACGATGGAAAGCATCGGCAATCGAAGCGTCAACAGCAGCGGGGTCCTCGCTCCGCTGAGCTTCCAGGATGGACCTCCCCAGAGCTGTAGCCTCCCCTGAAGACATGACTAGGACCTTCCACCTTTCCAGGGCAGCAGACCTCTTGTGATCCAAAACATCCACCCACGAAGAGCTATGCAGCGACGACTTCAGCCACTTAGCTGCCCGAGGCTCCCACGGAGGGACGACCTCCGACCAGCTTCGATCCTCAAAATCTGAGTCCGCAGCAGTCAGAGCAGGCAGTACCGGCCACGTAGGGCTCGGAATGATCGAGCCAGCTGCATTCCCCAGGATGCTTTTCATTGGGCCTTGCTCCCAGGCCAAGCATGGGCGCTTAACCCTGGCACCGATGGCCCAAGCATCCGCCCTCAAGGACAGGGGTTCCTGGCCTAAGTCGGTCTTTGCAGGCCCAACCCCCTTCATAACTTCCAAAGACCAAAGCCCAGCAGAAAACTAGGGTCCCAGGTTGACGGCCGTCGTCACGCACCTGTGAAGTTCCCGGTTTCCCAAGCCCACGGCAAGCCAAGTCTGTTGAGGGGACAGGAGCAGGATGCGATGGTTGATTGCAATGCTCCCCCAGGCAGCCTCCCAAACAGTTACTTCCTCACGTAGCAACACAGCTCGCTGCCACCGCTCGCTGACCCAAAGCAAGTACAGCAACCTCGGCTCGTGAAAATGCCTCGGCAGTATCCTCAGCAGTGGCGTTGGAGCCTCAGGCGCCTCTTCTCGAAACAAATCGATCTCGGAAGCGAAGGAGGAACTCGCGTAGCTGTCTGAGTAGGAGTCACTGGAGTCCATGCAAAGCTAGCCCTCGCACACCGGTCTTAGCACCTCAGAGCCTTTTAGGTTGCACGTGCCTACGGAGTGGCGGGCAACCGCACTCACGCAGGAGGACCCAAGGCTAAAATTGACCGCCGTGCTCTTTGCTTGAACTTGAGCCAAAATGGCCTAAAATTGACCGCCGTGCTCTTTGCTTGAACTAAAGCATGCCCCAACGTGTGCACATGCACAGTTCTGCCAACAGACATGACTGCCATGACTGTTCGCAAAACATGTTGGACATGACAAAGTTTCAAAAGCAAAGAAATGGAACGTTCCACCATCACTGCAAACGAGAGAAAAGAATTTTTACACGTTTTACGTGCACCACGTAAAACTTTCAAGCGGGGACATAAAAGATTATCACACAGGTGTGAGAATGGCCTTTATCTCCCAAGCTTGAAGTAAAAAAAATTTCTCACCGTGCACGAAACAACAAAAAGCATCTGATGCACAACATGTCTGTCACAGCGTACACATTGACAGCTCGCACTCCGATGTTTTCTCGCGAAAGCCCTGACAGTACCGGGGGTCAGCTGTGCCGTCGAACAGCACGCAAGAAGTGTACAGCAGCCCTTGCTGCACGCACCGCAA